TTTTCCTATATGTGATACTTTACTGTTAATGTTTTATAGTTAGGAAAGTATTTATTTATGACGAAATTTTTTTTCTTTTTTCATTTTTTTTTTTTTTTACTTCTTTCTCTAAGATATACCATTTATGAATATAAATTATAATGGACGAATTAATATTTTTGATTTGTAGGTGTACAAATTCGTATTATTATTATTATTATTATTATTATTATTATTATTATTATTATTATGATTATTATTATTATTATTATTATTATTATTATTATTACTACTATTATTACTATTATTATTATTATGCTTGATGTATTTGTATATGTGATATAGAATAATCTTGCACACAGAAATAATTAATTAGGTATACCAACGAAAAATGACATATAAGCTAGATTTTTCATAAACTGGCCCAAGTTATAACAGTATTTATATACCTGTGTCATAGTTATTAAATGGAAAATATTAAATCGAAATATTAAGCGAATAAAAAAAAATACTAGTTGAATTAAAGTTGTCTGCAATTGTCTCTGTCCAAAAGAATTACGTGTAAAAGTGCTAAAATATTAGAATTGCGATATAATAAGATTTAATTGTCTATTCGAAAAATTCATGATCTTTTTTAGGAAAGCGTGTAATTTGTAAAATCAAGTTGTGTTTATTTTTCCTCGAATTACTGTGTATGGTGTAAATATTATATCGAATTTATAATAAGATATGGAGAACATACTTTTTTATTATTCTGTGTATATGTATACAGATTTCTTATAATATTGACTCTGCTATATTATTAGTATTTTCTTTTAAAAAATGAAATTATATAATGAGCAAGTAATAACTTACGTAATTGTAATTATCTCGTATAAGTTATATAGATAATATTTGTATAAGTATTTTGTATTTATTTATACTTTTATTGTAAATGATGATGCATCTCGTCCATATGTAAGAACTTGTGAATTAGTTGCAGCTTATATAGAGTAAACCATTTTTCTTGGCTATTTTATAGAGGTCTTTCATTATTTATTTAATTGCACATTTACTTTTTATATATTTGATTAAAAAGAACACTCTATGTAGTTTAATTTAATAAATATTAATAATATTAAATATTAAAAATATATACTTCAACCTCTTTCTATTATCATAAAATTTGTTTTTGCAGAATAGTTTATCAACGTGCAAATCTATAGAGTAGTTCGTCAATGTACGAATTTTAATCATTGACAAACCACTTCGTAGATGTAATGTCGAGTTCAATCGCTCGACAATGTCCAAGTCGAGTATCGATCGACAAACTTATGTCAAGTGTGACTAGAAAAAGTGCATGTCGAGTACTGGTTGACAATGTGCATGTCGAGTAATGGTCGATAATGTACATGTCGCATAGCGGTCGATAATGTACATGTTGCGTAGCGGTCGATAATGTACATGTTGAGTAACGGTCGACAATGTGCATGTTGAGTAGCGGTCGACAATGTGCATGTCGAGTGTGACTTGACAAAGTGCATGTCGAGTAACGGTCGACAAAGTGCATGTCGAATAACGATCGACTATGTGCATGTCGAGTATGACTCGACTATGTGCATGTCGAGTAATGGTCGATAATGTACATGTTGCGTAGCGGTCGATAATGTACATGTTGAGTAACGGTCGACAATGTGCATGTTGAGTAGCGGCCGACAATGTGCATGTCGAGTTTGACTTGACAAAGTGCATGTCGAGTAACAGTCGACAAAGTGCATGTCGAATAACGATCGACTATGTGCATGTCGAGTATGACTCGACTATGTGCATGTCGAGTGTGACTCGACAATCATTGATGAACTATTAGGTAGATATATAAATCATTGCCGAACTGCTTCGTAGTTATACCTTGAATCATGAATAAATTATACCGTAGACATTAATAGTTAAATATTTGAATGATAATAGTTAAATTGTTAATTAAATTAATATTATCTAACATTAATTAGATATTTCCCAATAAATGTTATATATCATTGTAAATTATTTTACTGATTTAAAAATCATACCAAACTAGTATTTATTGAAATGAACAGCGACATTGAAAGTGCTCAGTAAATAAAATATCTTATCTTATTTCATTTTAGAGTGCCTTTATTTATATAGAGTTATGCAAATGTAAAGTGTTAATGTGTTATATAATGTTCTTCATTTTCACAAAAAATACATGAATATCTATGCATTTTCTCTATATTATTTCTTTTGTGTGTATATGTATATATATGTATATATATATATATATATATATATATATATATATATATATATATATATAAAATTACTTTTATATATATATATTTATTGAGATTAAATAGATAGAATAAAAATATTTACCTGGATTACTATCATTACATTTGTATATGTTTGTGTATGTGTATGTTATGTTCGTGTATATATTATATATAATTATTGTGTGCATTATCTAATAATTTCTTAAATATTGATTTATCATTAACTTACATAATATTACATATTGTTATGTATTTACAAATGCTTATTTATGTATATCGCCTAACAAAAAAAAAATGGAATAATCTCCTTAATAACAAATCAAAGTGCATATTTACTCGCACTTTTCTAAATTATATATTTCTGTTATAATTTAAGTGTAAAATCGAACTATTTCATGATTGTATTTATTTACTGATAAGATAGTAAAAGAACATGTTTTTTCTTTGTAATATATAGATATATATTAATAAAATGCATAGTCATTGAGAAAACAAGGACATGTCGATCTGTTAATTACGAAACACACACCCACACACACACACACACACACACACACACACACACATATGTACTCCTAACGTAAATTAAGCTGTTTTAATAATATTGTTTTTACATAATTTTTCATACATAACATTATACTTGTATGTTATATTATTTAAATATAATAAAACATAACATAATTATAATACACAAAATGATAACGAAACAAATGAGTGATGTATAATAATTCATGTTAAGAGTTTAAAACATAAAGTTACAAAAATATTCGTATTAAAAAGTAATGTGTATGTATAGATATCTATTAAATTTATCGATATATATGTATGTATGTATGTATGTATGTATGTATGTATGTATGTATATATATATATATATATACAGATACATATGTCGAGTAACTTATAATAATTTCCGAATAATTTCGATTAAATTTGTTCATGTATTCTGTTTATACTTGTTGTATATGTTTTTAGTATTTTTTTTTTTTTTTAAATCACTTGTGTGTTATGTTAATCTTATTATGTATGATTTGTACCCTGTTAATTATTTACTAATATGTCAAACATAATTTAAACTTATGTAACGAAAGAGTGTTTACTATTTAATGGTAATCAGATAATATTTTCTTTTTGTTTCTTTTTTCTTTTTCTTTTTTTTTTTTTTTTTAATATTAAGGCAAGTAAGATACACAATAAAAAAATGCTTATACTATATTTTATCCTAAAAGCACACAGTCACTGATAATTGTACAATAATAATATGTTCTCTTTTATACAATTTATGTATATGATAATACATTGATCGATAATATTTCTTATTAATTTAAAATTATATTCATTTTTTTTTTCTTGTTTACTACGATACATCACAAATTTGTGCATATGAGTCTCTGTTGCATTGGTATTCTCATATAAATTATAAATTCTATTATACAGAGTGAAACATTTAACAGATACACTCTAATTAATTCCTAAATTATGTATTATATATAAACAAAAAAATCATGTAACTTTCGCATATACTATACATAATAATTTAGAAGTTATTCAAAGTGTGCATGTAATTGCTTCACTCTGTATTATGCATATGTATTTGCCCCAAAAAAAAAAAAAAAAAATAGAAAAAAAATATATGGACGGCAGTAAGTGATACAATGCACGTAACTTGCTAATTCTTAATATTTTTTTTTCTTCTAAGAAATAAAAATTAAAAATGTTCATGTAACAAATTGTTACAAATAATTCTATAAAATTGATTGAAAAGGAAATGTTTTCACAATCATTTCTTTTATATTATTTTCTTTGTTCTCTTCTTTGTGTTAATTAATAATATTATATTTTTTTATAATTAATTATACAACAATAGACATTTCCATTGCATGTTCCAATACATGAAGATGTTAAATAAAAAAAATTGTGATAATTTAATTTTGTACAAAAGAAGAGGTAATACATATTAATACATAATAACTTTAATTAAAGCCCAAACAAAATTAGGATCATGTATGAATGCATTATTAATTGTAAGTATCTTAAAATAATTTGTTTTAAAAACAAATTTTTTTATTACATATATTGTTTCTAGGAACTTGAAATCCTATAATATCAAAAGTATTTGATAATGACAGTATTATAGAAGTATGTAATTAATAATAAATAATGATATATATGACAAAATTTCTCCTTCGTTAGTTATGCATAATTTCAAAGGAGTATTGACCAAATCAATTGATATTTGATTCGATATGATTTTACAATTGCGCTTAATATATTAAAAAAGATAACTATGATGTAATATCAAATTAATTTTACATACATATGTCATAATGCAAATTTGTTTGTCTGTAATTATTTATAAATTAAAACATTTTTTCTTTTCATTTTTTTCAGTATACATTCATCACTTATCATCCAACTTCTATTAGATTAAAATAAAAAGTTTTGAACAATTATGTTTCATTGGATAATGATATCTGACACATTTGCCATAGATCGTTATGAAAATATATAAAATATATAACTACTTATAAAATACTATGTGCAGTTTGTTCAAAATTTAATGCCCATGTATTAAATATCTGTTTAAATTTTTTATGACAGAGAGAGAGAGAGAGAGAGAAAGAAAGAGAGAGAGAGAGAGAGAAAGAAAAAGAGAAAGAGAGAGAGAGAAAGAGAGAAAGGGAGAGAGAAAGAGAGAAAGAGAGAGAGAGAAGACATAAAAAGAATTACAGAGTATCCTAAGGCACGGGAGAGATTTACAATCAGGTTTATTGTAAATATTATCACTTACTGTTGAGATTGATTGAATTGTACACTGAAATTCTGTGTCACTCTTTCTATATCATGGTAAAACATAATTCATATGATGTAAAATTATTCATTGCAGTCCCGATAAAAGTGCAATGTGAATTCTAAATAATCAACGCCGTGTTGATTCTTACAGATATTCTGTAATAAAAAAAAAAAAAAGAAAAAAAGAAGAGAAAAAAAGGCAAAGTTTATTAATTAGAAAACATTTAATTTCACACTTCTCAAATATTTCGAATGTACTTACTTCTTGGGGTTGTACAGTGGGTACACGAAATTTTAACGTTTTCCTGAGATAATGTGCTACATCCAAAGGAAAAGATTGATCGCCTGGTTGATTGTTATTTTCAATATATTGTGTTTGTTGTTGTTGCAAAGTATAAGTCCAACCGCATACCATTGTTTCGTCAATAGAAGTTGATGATACTGGACATTGTTGCACCGTTTGCCAAAACCAAGGCATACCGCTATAATAGCGATCCATATAATTAGATCGACGAATTTTAATTATATAAAAGTTATATTAATTTATATATTATAATACATACAGAAAATGTAACGTAAGATGCATATCAGGCATATGTTTAGATAATGGTATAATACAACTAATATTGTTTGGAGTATTTGGTGAGGCAGCAGTGCAATATCGTTGATCTAAGGAGACATTAAAGCTTTTGGCAACTATAAACAATTGGGGTTTAGGTTCTGGTGGTAAAGAACCAGCAGCGTTACTAGCTACTTCTCCCCAATCTGCACCAACAGTATCTCGTTTTGTCCTTTTATGTAGATATTTGTAATTGCTCTAAAAATAAAAAAAGAAAAAAAAATAAATAAATAAATCAATCAATCAATCATATATATTTATTATTGTTAAACTATATATCTACGTATATTATTAATTTTTATACTAATTATATTTAAATATGCCAGTGAGACTCGTGGAAAGAAAAACGTATTATAGAAAATAAAATAAAAAAATATTGTTCTATATATAATGAGCTACCTCTTTTACGAGAGTTTGTGTGCTAGGATCAGATGGATTAATGCCATTTTGAAAACCTTTGCTTACTTTACGCTTCTCTTCATGAATATTTAAAGGTTGCTCCAGATGATCTGCTGAAAAAAATCAAATGATAAATATATTACATATATATATATATATATATATATATATATATATATATATATATATATGTAATACATATGATTAAAAAAAAAAGAGAAAGTATTAAAAATCTGTATTTGTTTTCAAAATATTATATATCATATGATTAAACTTACAAATAGACTTTTTCTCTGGTGGATGATCTGGTTGTGGATCTTCCAATTGATGAATTTCAGCAGAGCAACAATAAATCTATATATGAAATATATATATATATATATATATATATATATATATATATATATATATATATATATATATATGAAATGCATTTTATAGCAACATATATTTTTGTAATTTTACATAAACACATGCAATTAAATATTATTTACAACGTTAATACCTACCTGACATGGACTTTCGAGTTCACTAAAATGTGCAGGACAATCAATTGGTCTTCCTAAAGGAATCGGATCTTTATTTGATATTGCATCAACGTCTGTTCCTTGATCATTTTCGTCTACATTACTAGGAATGGCACCTGCACCGTTTTTACTCAACCAATTCCCAGGAAATTCGCTATAATTATTATTTATCTTATTAATTTATATTTAATTTATATTAATTAATATATATATATATGTATATATTAAACATATACAATTTAACATACTTATTTTTATCGAGCTTTGGTTGTGGACCCGAATGATTTATCGGATACCACGAAGTTATTTCTTGCGAATATAATTGTTGTTTCGTATTAGGCGTTTGTGTTGTTAATGAATTACTTTTTAAGGATAATCCACCGTCTAAACCTCTCGTATACGGACCGTGTTTTGTATATAAAGAAGATATTGTACTATGTAATAAAGAATTTAATCTAGGATCGTATGTTGGAGTTGTTGATAACATTGCTGGATGAACAGGTTTCACTGCCAGCATATCTTTACTTGCCATTGTAGACCATTCGAGGCTACTACGTTTCTGATATTCCAGAAAATATAATGTTGCCATTGCAACGAGACTAAAAAATACGTAATAATCATAAGTTTATATATTATTAAATGACTTGAAATATATATGCATGTATATATACATATATGTATAAAAAAAAAAAAAAGTAATAACAATAATTACCAAAATGCCATGATCAATATAAGTATAACGATAATAATTTGTATAAATTTATTACTGCATAAAAGTTCGTCCTCTCTTTCAATCCTTTTTGTTTTTCCAAGGATAGACGATTTGTTATTAGTAGGCGATGAGTATTTATTACTCGATATGCTAGATACCGTACTGACGGAACTTTTAAGACTGTCGCCTCTTTTTAATTTAGCAAGGCGTTTGTTTATTCTTTCTAGTTGATCTATTCTAGTTTCCAAACTATCTGTTACCTGTGCAAAATCAAATATATTTAAATCAAATTATATTCTTTAAAAAATAAATTAAATAAAATGAAATATAATGTAAAAGAAAAAAAAAAAAAGAAAAAAAGGAATGTAAGAAAATGATGGAAATGTAAGGACATACTTTACAAAGTTCTTTCACGGCTCCTACATTTTCCATGAATATTCGTTCTTTATTGACGACCAAAAAATTTTCAATTCTTTGACCATTTGGAAGAACAATATCGCCGGCCGGAAGTACAGCTTCCGGTAAAATTTGTTGTACTTCTTGAGCTATAACACCGGTATCTTCTTGTGGTTTTATTCCCAAACCTGAATGCAAGGCAAATTCTGGAGCATATCGATATCTTACAACACGAAGCTGTTGTACATTTCTCAATTGTTCACGTGTATCCACTTCTTGAACATTTTGTTTAGCTCTTGCATCACTTGGTTGAACTATATGACCAGTAACCTGTACGAATGTATATATATATATATATATATATATATATATATATATATATATATATATATTTATATTTTATATATATATATATATATATATTTATATTTTATATATATTTATATATATATATATATATATATATATATATAAATAAAATGTATAAGTATTTTACTATTATATTATTATATGCACAATGATCTATTGGAAAATTACCTTCATATTCCCATGAATTACAAGAGCCTCGTCCGGTCTATCCGTATTAATACCAACTCGGCCAGCATGATAAACGCTATCAGGTGCAGCACCTCTTTGCCATCCTCCTTCAGCTCCGACACCACTACCCTCAGATTCAAATTGTCCTGGATTACTTGCCTGTACAAAATGTTGCTGGTTCTATAGAACGTTCTGTCCTTTAATATGTTATATTTATTCAAAAAAAATAAAAAAAAATAAAAAAAAAATAAAAAAAGAAAAAAGAAAACAAAAGTAATAACAATAGTAATAATGAAACAGAAAGAGAAGGAAAGAAAAAGAAAATAATGGAAAAGATATATAAATAAAATCAATAATGATTTTTATTAATAATAATGAATCTTACCCTAACGATTATTCTTTCCGATGCATGTGCAACGACTTGATAACTGGCTTGGTCTGCTGTATGAGCATGAAGACCAACAACCAAATGAAAATATCTTTGATCTGGATTTGGTTTTCCTTTTTTACGCATATTATTACTCGTTGTTTCACTAAAATGTAAGCGGCCGACTGTTACTTTCGTAACACGTTCGCCGCCTAAATCCACCCTGGAAACAACGCTATTTTAGTGTAATATAGAAAAATGCAATTTATAAGAAAAAACACGTTACATTAAACGTACGAGAACGTGCATCCAAATCGTTAAGTTTTTTTTTTTTTTAAATTTTTCGTAAAAAATATTTACCTACATATATATATATATACAGGCATGACTACGCCTGTAAAAACAAGACCAGTGGTTTCTACTTTTCGATCTGACTATTATAATTCTTAAGATAAAAATTAAAATATCTTAATACTTGAACGCACATCTCGTATTATTTCGTAATTGATTTAATTTAATTTATTATACTCACGTAACAGGATGAAAGGGTTTCTTACTTCTGTCGCTTTGACTTTGTTCTACTCTGATAGTTTGCGTCGGCGATTCGACTTTAACACCATAAAAATGTAATTGAAAGCTATTTATCTTCTTCAATCCTTCACCAGTTCGTACGAATACAGCTTCGCCTTGTAATTGTGCATGACAAGTGATCTAAAACGAATAATAATAGAAACGATCAACATTGAACAGAATCAATGAACATATATATACATGTATTTATATACATATATATATATATATATATACATATATATATATATATATGTATATAAATACATGTATTTAAATATTCGATATTCATACCTGAAAATGATTCTTCTTTTGGCAAACAAAAGCATCGTCAGAATTACTAAAATTAAATCCTTTATCCGCATCGACTCTGTAATGCGGTACAGGAAGTTCTTTAAGATTATGATCACAAAGTACGTGCCAAGAAGTTTGTTGAAAGGGATGAAATCGTATGCATTGATAACTTGGATCAATGTAATTACTATCAGCAACTTCATCACCATCGAGAACAGCACTGCTACTGCTGCAACTATGTTCCACCGTACCAAGTTCCGGCTCCTTATGCAAAGACCATACGAAGAGTGCAAAATGTAATTGAAAATGAACATTCATTGAATGAATATGAAAATAAATTAAAAAAAAAAAGAAAAAAAAAATGGAAACATAGAAAGACACGCGTGCACGCACATAGAAACGCACACACAGTATACTATGAGATAGGAATTTACCTGTTTGACATGAACAAGCCCATCCTGACTAAGTTTTCTCTTTTTAGGTGCTGACTGAAGAGACGAGTATAACGTGTTAATACCATCGTTACCATGTTCGTGCGACAACGGTACTAAGGTTGGTGCAATTTGTTGTTGAGTCGATAAATTCGTTGTTCCTGATGTAAGATGAGGAGTTAAGACCGGATGTGTCAACAATAAGGGGTCAGTAGATGTGGCCAATGTTCTTGGTGAAGATGGTAACAAATTGCCTGGATAATTGGATGTATTACCTTGGTGATGTAAAAGTATTTCTTGTAAAGCCGCCTTTTGATCTGAAATACGATAAGCTTTCATATAAAAATATCTCTTAATAATAACAATAATAATTATTATTATAATTGTAATAATTAAATAAAAAAAAAAAAAAGTTTATAGATAAGAATCTTACGTGGCGAGTGAACGTGTTGGGGATCATGGTGTCCAGGCGGAGAATATGGTGGCTCGCTTCCACTGTCCGGTGGACTTTCTGGCAACGGATGTCTGGCATATATCATAATTAAAAAAAAAAGAAAAAAAAAAAGAAAAAAAAAAAGAAAAAAAAGAGAAAAGGAAAAGAAAAAAAGAACAACGATATATTAATTAAGAAAATATATATGGTGATGCATTGAAGATAATCAATGTTCCTGCGGACTTACGGATGAACGTACGATTGTGGATCTTTGTAGGCGGTACCGGTTGGGACGGTGGTAGCGGTGGTACCAGAAGAACATGCGTTCGACACAGCATGATTGTGAGCGATCGGTGAAGGTAAACGTTGTGGTGTTTGCTGACTACCCGTTGCTTCAACTCGATCGCCATGACTCGTCGTTCCACTCCCGTTTTCTTCTGCCGCGAGAGTGTCCGCGAAATATCTGTATATAATAAACAACAACAACAAGTCGGTATTATTTTTATTATTTCTTAGATAAACAAAACATAGTAAATTAGTAGTAGAATATCTAAATATAATAATTTAATAATATTTGAATATAATAATTTTTATTATTTTTTTTAGATAAACAAAAAATGGTATACTACTAGTATACTACTATATATACATAAATACACACACACACATACATACATACACACATACACACAGAGATAAAATGGACGTATTTTTAACATCCATTATTATTCTCTATTCTTGACTTTTCTAGACTTTTTAAAAAATTTACTTTACATGATAATGTAATTAGAGAGTCTACTTAAAACGAAAGGAATAATTTATCCTATGGTTTTCATAAATTAAATGCAATATGTATACACATTGGTATATGTATGTGAACGGTGCAATGGGCATGCAGAATTTATAAAACACAAGATATCGTTATCGTTTGCCTCATTAAAAGACGAAATACCGGTTGACGTTCAATCGAAGCTCACGATTTGGGGTCTTTTTTTTCTCTTTTTTTCTTATTTTCTTTTCTTTTCGATTTGTAAATATAAAACACATACATTTTAAAACTTACTTCGTATTCAATTTTATTCTTATTAAAGTCATAATATTTTTCTTTTTTATTTTTACTTATTTTATATAATTCCCGTAATACTATTCATATTCCTTGAAATAAAATCTTTGAATTTTTTTTCACATTTTATTGCACTTGGAATAAAGGTATGTATTTATTGTAACGATTTACTAATTCATATACGAACTATTTCTTTCTTTTTGTTTCTTTTTTTTTTTTTTTAAATACTACAAATACAGTTTGATTGATCGTACATTGATTAGAATCCGTTAAATTCCGTTGCATTTTATTTGCACTTGCATTAAAGATCCATACGACTATATCGATATTGCTAATTTTATTAGAGTCGTTTTCTTTGTTTTTTCTTTTTTTCTGTCTTTTTCTTTTTCTCTAAATATTTTCGTAGAATATATTCGAAAGTAACATATTGTGTCGGACGTAACAGACATTGTTGGAAGCTTTTATAATGTTAGAAGCACACAACACATATAGTGGATTACCAAGCCTAACTCAGCATGCAGTGATTCCATCAATTCCATCCAGTCTGTCACTGTCATTATATCATTACACTTCTCTGCGATCGTTACTACACGATATCTGTCTGCTCGATATAAATGTATCTGTCTGTAGAAGAGTTTATATGTTAACAAACGAGCCACAATCCGCGCAATGCTTTCTATCTTTATCTGTAGTATGCGAATTCAAATTTATTTCGATGAAAGCGCATTTACGAGACAAGAAATACTGAGGGAAAGAAAGAAAGAAAAAGCAAAAAAATAATAATAAATAAATCAATCAATCAAAAGAAAGAAAAGAAAAAAAAAATTTTGATCTTTTATAGATCTTCGGATGTCCCTTCGATCATTCTACTTGCAATATCTAAAATTTGATGATAAATTGTGGCACGTGCTATGGAATAGCAATGATATATATATATATATATATATATATATATATATATATATATACATATATATATATGTATATGTATATGTATATATATATAATCGTATGGATCGTGTCGAGACCGTTCAATTTAGAGATTTAACGTGATACGCGTATGTCGACGACAGGAAACGCGTGCTCGTCTCTTCAAATAATGAGAGAATATTGTATTTGAATTTTTCATCATTGAGTGATATCAATTACTATTGACAATTGTTGCCGTTGACATATCTTTCTCTTTTCATTCCCTCCTTTCTCTTTTTCTTTTTTGTTTATTTTTGTTTGTTTTTTTTTTTTTTGTTTTTTTAATCAACATTTGTAGTGTACTACTTTCTTTCTTTTTCTTTCATTTTTAATTTACACACTAATCGCAAAAGTAAACGAGATATAAATCAGAATAAATTGTAATATCATATGAATATTATTATTTTTTTTTTTTTTTCTTTAAATATATTACAATTCTCTTCGTTACATTATAAATTCGATATTACACAAGTACATTTTATTGTATTATTATAAATTTTTTGTGTTTATAAATTTCTTATTCTTAGAAAGGTACCGACATCGTTTAAAGTGAATAATGCAATTAGAAAAAAATAGAAAATAATAATAAAAAAAGAAAAAAAAAAGGAAAAGAAAGAAAAACAATCGCGAACCTTTTCAAATGGCCCTCTTATAAAACATATGTATTTATATACGTATATATATATATATATGTATTTTGAGACAAAACACAATAGCCTTGCTCTCGTCGAGTTGCAACGCACATTGTACACGTGCTCGTACACGCGGGACGTAGGCGTTAACGATGGCTTCCCACCGAAGTTAAATTCACTCGTTAATCTGAGAGATGGTATTAAGAGGAGCCTTTATAAAATCAGTTGCTTCTTTAAAAAAGAAAAAAAAAAAAAAAAGAAAAAAAAAGGAAAGAAAAAAAGAAAAACAATCATTTACTTACGCACAAGCACACGTTCAGTCACGCACGGACATCGAATTTCTTTCGAAATATAAAAATCAAACGTTTACGAAATCCAATATAAAATAAAACAAAACAAAACAAAAAAAAAAAAAATAAGAAAGAACTCACGTTGCTGGTTGTTCGCTGTCGCTGTTAATGAAATCCTCCAACTGCGAAAAGTCAAAGGCTTCGTTGTCAATTCCTCCAACGAAGTCGCCTCGACCTAAAAAAAGATCAAAAAGAAAAAAAAAAAAAAAAAAACAAGAAACAACAAATAAAAAATTCGTACTTCGTATTAGATAATATATTTTGGAAGAATTGCAGGACGTGTTTTTTTACGTTTATAAAAAATTTCTTATTCTCCCTTCTTTTAAAAATCGTATTAAATTTATGAACAATATTATTAACGAGATTTATTTATCTTTATCAAGCTAACTTATAATAACATTTGATTCGTGATTGCGACAATGGGATATACGAAAGATTGACTTTCTATTACAAAAAAAGGAAGAAAAAAAACAAAAAAAAAAAAAAAGAAAGAATTTTTTTGTCAGCAGAAATACCGCACAATTCCTTTTCTCGAATTATTATTTTAGACATTCGTTTTTATTTTGTTTTCTTTTTATTTTTCTTCTAGATAAATTAAAAAACAAAGCAATTTATAATGGAAAAAAAAATCGAAGTACAATAGCAATATAATAAAATCTATATTCATAATTTTATGATACTTAATTCATAATTAAAAGAGAATAATAGAATTTAACAAGAATGAGAATGCAGTTACATGATAAGAATGATATTCGTATTAACGAGAAAATGCAAGACACGAGATATATGTATCTTTTTAAAAGTCTAACTGTTTTTTTTTTTTTAACAACAATCGATCGATTACCTTATTGATTGATTTTCGACAACATAATCGAGAAAGCGTCGAATATATGTAAAATCATGTTCTCTATCGTTTTGATAATTCGTTCGAGACTAAACAGATTCTAGAGAAATATATAGTTATTCAGTCTTGATGTAAGAAACAAAACGAGAAAGTAGAAAAAGAGAGAAAGACAGAGAGAGAGAGATTTATTGGTTCGAAGAGAAGTGATTTCTCGGACTATTGAGTTTCGAAGACGATATCATGCTCGAGTGAACAGTATAGTGTTGATACTTGCGGAATACTGATTTTCTTTCGACGATAAATTCAGAGTAAAGTTTTAAGGAATTTCAGATTCAGTAATACACTTCAGAACGTGCCAAATGTTCTTAGGTGATTTTTTTTCGTTTTTTTTTTTTTTTTTTTTTTTTTGGTAAATCGATCAGGCATTTTCGAAACGATTTCATGCTTCGTGGTTTAAGGCCCGTGGTTTTACGAGCTATGTCTATGCGCACACTCGTAGTGATTTGATAATTTCAAAAGGAAAAAAAAAAGAAAAAAAGAAAAAAAAAAAGAGTCTAAAAAGTTTGAAAACAAAAATAGTCAATTTTTATAATAGCCTGAAAACTTTACCCCTTTCTCCCCTATTCCTTCTTTTATTATATTATAATATAAAAAAAAAAAAATATATATATATATATATCAACATAAATATTGACTATTTTATTTCTATGATACTTCATTGTTATCTCTCTCTCTCTCTCTCTCTCTCTCTCTCTCTCTCTCTCTTTACTTCTATCTCTCTTTCTTTTCTCCCATTCTTTCTTTCTTTGACATCTAACAAAGAGATCAAGATGCATGTACATATATATATACATATATATATATATATAAATATAAATAAAATGACACACATATCTTGGATATTCTTAAAAGCATTTAATACTCCAACTCAAGTGTCATAACTCGATGCTTCCGGTCTCAGTCATATATAGTTATATAGGATTAACCAAACGTAAAGGCGCCTTTAAGACTCCGTTAGAATCATCATCTTTTATAACAAGCATTATGTACATATACATACACACACACATATATACATATATATATATATATACATACATATATGTATTACTACTATCGATACATGCTAACGTTATCGTTTCTAATCGAATAAAGAAAAACGTCATCCCACGTTCCAATGACATTTGTAAGCTTGTAAACATCAACATTTTACATTTAATCGATGCGAATAAACATTAACTTAGTTGGCAATTGAAAGAACCAATTGTGAATGCAAGAATGAATATAAAACAGGCGTATCTCTCTTATATTATAAAAAGATTTCAATTGAAGAAATTTGTTCTTTGAAAAAAAAACAAAAAGAAAAAAAAAAAGATGATTGATCGGAAAAAAAAGTAAATAAAAGGAATCGATTAAATGAGGATATTAAATATTAAATAGGATATTACGAAAGTTCTTGGATGATTTCAAAGAAAAAGAAGAAGAAAAGAAAAAAAAGGAAAAAAAAAAAGAAAGAAAGAAATCAAGTATTCTTTTCAAGCACTACATTCCTTCAAGTGCTATCACTTTTTTGGAGTCTTGCAAGAATAACTTGTAATTTTACGATCTACGTAAAGAAAGAAATAAAACAAAAAAAAAAAAAAAGAAAAGAAAAGAAAAAAGAAAAGAACTAGCCTTGGAGAAAAAAAACAAAACAAAAAGAAAAAAAATAAGAAAGAAATTATCCGTTCGAAGGGACTTAAATCTCGTTAATGTTACTTTTTATCGATTCATTTCGTTTTATCATACATAAATATTGTATATACATAAATGATTGGATCAAAAGTTTCTGATCTTTTAGTTGTGCAATCTAATAAGCTATCTAATTAACTTTTTCAATCGGCAAGGTATCGTTAGCCAACTTAAGAACTTCCGATCTAGTCTATAGTTAAAATACGATACTAATGTTATTTTTCTAAGGAATCGTTTGTATCTCTCTCTCTCTCTCTCTACCTCTCTCTCTCTTTTACTCTTTCTAATTCTTTCTATAATCGGATAATTGGTCCATCAATGTTAAACGTATCTTTTTACATTGCGTTTACGTGAGAAAGAAAAGGAAAAAAAAAAAAAAGAAAAAAAGAAAAAAAGAAAAAGCAAATTGAATTCTATCGAACGACTATAAGTGAAAAGATTTACTTATCGAATATCCTGTTTTACGAGTTACGACTACAAAGACATTCGACATTAGAGCTAACACGTTATCGTTTATTTTCTACTAGCTCACGTGAAAATAAGATTTTCCAATATGTAAACACATGGTTTCTCATGTCTTCTCATTTAATCTTATCCTCTATGTCAATCTATACTTTGCCGGAAAATCCCGGACATTCGTAGAAGGTGAAGAAAAATATGTATATATATATATATATATATATATGTGTGTGTGGGTGTATATATATATATACATGTATATATATATATATATATATACATATATATATCCAAAGTCCACGTGATTACATATACCTATTCGATATAATGAATTTGTAATCATTATTGCTGTATAATGAATGATTGTTTTTTTTAAAGTTCTCGATTAATATAAGACTCTTTCATAATCTTTAGAAATTACTAATAAGGAAATTGTATATATATATATATATATTTACCATAAAAATGAAATTTATGCATTAAAAAAAGAGAAAAAAAAACAGTGGAAAAAAATAAAATAATAAAAGTCGAATATTTTTCAAATGGCCTTTGAGGCAATACTGAGAATCTATTTACGATTGGTATTGGTGTAACATATGATTATTCTTTCAATAGTTCAGTTGAGTGTTTTTTATAGTCTTTAGACATTACGAATACGGAAGTTATGTATATACATACTTATGTATACAATATTTAACACTGAAGCTATGAAACGAATTTTTAGAGATTCCCATTTTTTTTTCTTTTTCTTTTTTTTTTTTCTTTTTATGATTACCGAAAGCACAATTATTAGAGTAATGTCAATTCTAAACGATGTCTTTCTTTACTTATTAATTATTGTAAAAATTATATGATATAATGCATTTTCTTTCGAGTATTCGTCAAATTAACAGATGTATTAGAAACAGTGTTCGATAGTACTAACGTTAATAATGTCTAAACTTTACTTAGATATTTGTAGAATTTTGTAAAACTTTTTATTCCATTTTTTTTTCTCTCTTCTTTTTTCTTTTTTTAATCATTCTCTCAGCATTGCACGTTTGCAAGATAATAAGGTAAGAGATGAAATTTAAAGGGTGAGTCGTTGCAAAGGTTGGGCCGTTGCCAACCAAGTTACCGGTAAAGTATCGACCAAACACTATTCTAGCTTGATGCTTCGAATATGCTTTGAATCTGAATATCTTACATTTCGATATATATATATATATATATCTAAACGTATATATTTTTATAAACATACATCAGTATATTTTTATATAACATTTTTCTATTTGAATATAATAAATATCTTTAGATATCTACCTGTATAATATCTAGAACATATGTGTGTTCATAAACAGATATTGGATTTTTGTAAAAGATTTATTTTTTTGTTTTTTTTAATCGAAATATAATATTCAAATTTTATCTCGTATAATGCGCTTGTTTCGAAGAAAAAAAAAAAAATATTAAAGATTGCAAATACATGCATGCATTGCAATCTCTCACTCTCTCTCTCTCTCTCTCTCGCAGTCCACATATATAGTGGAGTTCTTCTATATAACAATAACTTTATATTTCTTTCTTTTTCTCTCCTTTTCTCTCTCTCTCTCTCTCTCTCTCTCTCTCTCTCTCTTTCTCTATAATTTGTAAAACGTGAATGTAAGATATATGTAGATCTTTCTTAAAACTTTCCCACACGTAGAGTAAAGTCAAGGAAGGTAATATTTTCCACGGTGTACGCGTGTCTTTGACGATGAGTTTCACCGAGTTTCTGTCTTTTTGCGTAATAATATGACGTAGTCATTAAGAACAAAGCCAAAAGGAAGTTGTTAACGAGCTGACGAAAAAAAAAAGAGAGAGGAAGAAGGAGAAAAAGAGAGAGAGAGAGAGAGAGAGAGAAAGAGAGAGAGAAAGATAGACGGAGAGAGAGGAAAAAAGTTTGAAAGATCGTTCATTAAATCAAATGACTAATTATATATTATTTCATGAGTGATACATTTTTCTCTTTTAAACTATTGTTTGTTTTCCCTTTTCTTCTTTTTATCCTTTTCAGTTTTTTCTTTTCTTTTTTTTTTATTCTTTTTTCTTTTTTATTTTTTTTATTTTTTTATTTTTTTTTTTTTTTTGTTTAAAGCGCAGAACACTCGGAATCGTTCTTC